AAGTAGCACAACTATTGTTACTAAAGTTAAGCCATGATAAACTGTTGTAAGGGTGTTGATGTGTCGTTTGAAAAGCTTTAATTTCTGTTGGTGTTTCTCCACTTGTTTTGTCAGCGCTGTTTGCCGAGGTTGTCTATCTGTTTGAGGTGTTTAGCTGAGTTGTTTGACTTCCCCAATAGTGTTTTTAAAGTAGACAATTCTCAGTAGAGTTCAAAAGTGTCACACAGGTTTAGCGGCCTGTGTTGTATTGCCCAACACTTCACATAAGCAATTGTATTTTCACACATCTACAAAACATGCTGATGTGCTTCATTCACCCCACTTATGGTATGCGCTTTGAAGAACATTTAGCGCTTAACATGTAAAAGCACGGGGCGAAAGAATTTCAGCATACCGGCATTACGCAGAAAAAAACATCACAGTGCAGAAACAACCCTGACCCTAGCATATCTCTAGGATTCTGTGGTTTGTTCTTTTTAGTCCGGCAAAAGCGCAGTTGCATTAATGTGGTAGTGTGGGTCTACAGGGAGGGATAAGTTAGAACGTGAGGGAATTTGAGGCCACAGGACAGCCATGACTTCTACCCACAATCCTTTGTGGGCTCTTGTGGTCGACAAACACTCGTAGAGCAAGAATTTATATTATACATTTATGCAACGAAAAGCTGCTAACAAAAGCAATTCGCCAAAGAGCCACCAATATCCATTATGTACAATGGCAGGTTTATTTGATAACTAGATTAGGAAGCAAGCTAGAGAAGAAGAAAACGTGTGTGACTGTGCAAGTGCATTGGTTAAATGGTTTGTGGTGGTTAAGTGCTTGCTGAAAGGAGTGTTCTTTAGGTCTCAGCAGTTAGATTGGAGGTTTGCAGCTCATTCCAACAAAGAGGAACAGAGAGAGTGAAGGTTTTGGAAAGGGACTTTTTGCCTCATTGTGAAGGAACAACAAGGCGTTGCAAGTAACATTTTTATCAGTTTATGCTTGCCTGGGGAATCAAACCCATGACCTTGGCATTGGTAGTGCAAAAGAAGTTCTGTTTTACTCACAGTCACTTTATGTCTCCCTGTGCTGCTGTTTTAAATCCTTTGAAAGAGCTCAGAATCTGTTTTCCCAGCCTACATTTAACCTGACAGAATTTTCAACCTGCCTAGCATGCTTTTGAGATTGTAAGGATTTGAACCCTGGTCCATGGAGCAGGCAGTCATCAGAGATGAGAATGTGAAGGAGAGCTGGTTAAAATGCAGAGAATATACAGAGAAAGTCAGAGGTGCTCTTGTGTCGGCCCTCATTAACTTGACTCCAGCGTGATCTTTGTTGAACGCAGGTTGCTTTCTCGGTTGTATGAAGCACTGCGGAGCATTCTTTTGGAAAGATAATTGGAGCTGACTGTTTTGTACGTCACCATTTTTATTTTTTTGCACTTTCCATGTGCACTTTTCTGATATTTTTCTAATGAGCCGGTGTAGGCTTTGTCTCTGGGCATTTTGTTAATGTAGTCTGAAGTAACATAGACATTAGAATGATGATTATGATGATGTAGACGTTAATCGTGACAGTAATAATAGCATGAGGATCATGATACTGATGGAGGCTTGGACAGTTTGGTGTGCAGGGGCATCATAATTGTCCATTAAACTTCTCAGATAACTTTTGGTCGTGGAAAGAACAGCACTGGAGACCCTAGGCCCTCTACTCATTATCTGAAAATACTTCGGCTACCATTCACTAATAAGCCTTTTTGATTCTTGTTAAACAGCTCCTTGGAGACTGGATTGTTTGTAATTCGTCGTCTAGCCTTTAAAAGCGATCATTCATGCACCAATTACTGTCAGGATACATGAATTCTGTTAACTTAACCTACCACTGTGATTGTGATCGTTGCTGTCCTGTAGTATGATTTCAAATAGGACTGAATACAAAAAGAGCATCTTATCCATGGGAAATCATTAAAAAATCTTTGAGATTTAGAGTGTATGATGTTAGGGTCTTTTGAATCTTTAGACACAATGTGCTTGTCGCTGGTCCAGTACACTCAAACGGTACTAATATGTACTCTTTATAGGTAGATGTAAGGGAAACTTTGAGAGCACTGCCCCAGTATCAAGCTGTTGTATTTAAATGCATGTTATTGATCTTATTGTGAATGATTCATCCATTCGTATGCACATAAAAAAATTACCTTGTAATTTGTTATCAAAATTAATCTGTGAAACAACAGACTTCTCTCTGGTGATGTATACTGGACTATTTTGTCTGCATATACCCCGCCCCTTTCTTACAAATTCAGCTCTGCCTCCATCCAATCAACAACTAATGGAATGAACCAAGTACCTGCCATATATATTTACATTTTTTAACAAACCATTTCACTCAGATACATGTTTCAATGCAGAAAAAAAAGTATTTTTCCCCTCATTAAAAGTTTTATAGTTAATAAAATGAGTAGCACTTTTGAAAAATATGACATTCACTTAACATAAAGAGAAGGGGGAAGAGAGGGTGGTAGAGGGCATGATATTTGAATTAGCATTAAATTATTTTCCCCCTGAATACTCATACAGCATCTCAGCACAAGCGGTAGAAATCAATATTTCCTATTTCCATATTATTCTAAGGCTATTGATCCATCAGAAGCAGCTCGCCTCTGAGTTCTGAGATATATTTAATTTTCTAGTCTAAACTGAAAAAAATTAATAAATAAATATAGATGAGGCAATGAAAAGTAGTCAAGACTACAGGTGCATCTCAATAAATTAGAATGTCGTGGAAAAGTTCATTTATTTCAGTAATTCAACTCATATTGTGAAACTCGTGTATTAAATAAATTCAATGCACACAGACTGAAGTAGTTTAAGTCTTTGGTTCTTTTAATTGTGATGATTTTGGCTCACATTTAACAAAAACCCACCAATTCACTATCTCAACAAATTAGAATATGGTGACATGCCAATCAGCTAATCAACTCAAAACACCTACAAAGGTTTCCTGAGCCTTCAAAATGGTCTCTCGGTTTGGTTCACTAGGCTACACAATCATGGGGAAGACTGCTGATCTGACAGTTGTCCAGAAGACAGTCATTGACACCCTTCACAAGGAGGGTAAACCACAAACATTCATTGCCAAAGAAGCTGGCTGTTCACAGAGTGCTGTATCCAAGCATGTTAACAGAAAGTAGTGGAAGGAAAAAGTGTGAAAAAAAAAGATGCACAACCAACCGAGAGAACCACAGCCTTATGAGGATTGTCAAGCAAAATCCTTCACAAGGAATGGACTGAGGCTGCGGTCAAGCCACGACATTCTAATTTATTAAGATGCACCTGTATACCACTTATGTTGTGTGCAAAACATCCATATTAACAACACATGCAATTGTATTATTATAATCCTTTATAAATGTTAATATTGTTGCATATTGTGTTTTTGGTTACACTTTACTTGAAGGGGTGTGCATAAGACTGACATGACACCTTCATAATCATGACATGACACATGTCATGAATATGAAGGTTTTTTTATGCATGTTTATGACAACTGTCATTAAGTGTCATTCGCTCAGTTATGTAATTTTTAATGCAAAGATGACATTGTTTGTCTTTGTTATGGGCTATGGTTAGGGGTAAGGGTAGGGGTAGGGTTAGGTCAAATAATGTCATATTTGCATTCAAAATGACATAACTGAGCGAATGACACTTAATGACAGTTGTCATAAACATGCATAAAACCTTCATATTCATGACATGTGTCATGTCATGATTATGAAGGTGTCATGTCAGTCTTATGCACACCCCTTCAAGTAAAGTGTTACTGTTTTTCAGATGCTACTCTTGTAGAGTTCTTCCATATATCTGCATTGGCAGCTCAAGCAACAAATGACGTGTCTTACAGCCTCATGATTCATCTTACCTACAGAAATATTTATAATAATTGAAATATGGCATTATAGTGACAAAATCTTGAAATCACAGATATTCAGTTTTCATAAAAATTTGAAGAACTATTGTTGTGTTTAGGTGGTCTGTGGATGTTCTGATTTAATCAAAGTTGTTGGAGAATGGCTAGTCTACACTAAGAAGTAGATGGCAACATTATTTTGTGCAGGGGTATACAACCTTTCAGGATAACACACTGGTTATTTCATTCATTTTATTCACAGAGGGGCCCACTTTATGTGGGATGCAGGAGCTTTGTTGATTCATCACGCTATTGAAAGTGTATTAGAAAACTAGATTAGTTTGATGCTATAATATTATACTTGACTACTTTGTGAGAACACAAATATTGTCTGTATTTACAACAAACAGCCTCGCAGTAATCAACTGTGTAAGCCTGCAGGCCGAATGTCACAGTAAATGATATAAAATACAGTGGCTATGATATGTAGCGTCTGGACCACTCCAACACACAATATATATTTTGTTAGCTAGATTTCACAAATACTTTGTAACACCCCAGGACGCCGAACAAGACCCTGGTTTCATGGTAACCCGATACATTTACAACCTTGTGGAATGCGAGCCGGCTCTCATTCTGCTTTCTCCAGAAACAAGGGGTAAAAATGCACAGGAGAAATGGACTGTTCTACTAATTAATTCATAGGAAAACCTTCTTTGAATGAACACCCATTTTCTTCAGGCCAGTGTGTATATTATTGCTGTGTTGTATTTAATCTGTTGTATTATAGACTATTTTTATCCGTGCTTACGATAAACCACACATTCATATAAGTAACTATTTCATGTCTAGTATCTATGAATTCGCCTTCTTATGATCGAAACAAGTGTGTATATTATATGCTGATACCTATGCAACATATTGATGTTCTAAGAATCGGTACTAATTTGTGCCTCAACACTCCAGCGAATTACATATGCAAAATACCATGCTTACAGACAAAGACTCATAAAAATCCTCAGTATTTCCAACCTCCCGCTTGGGATTTCAGCCTTCCTCATTGGACGAACCCATCTTGAGAGGCGTGAATCTCTGCAGGCTTTAAAAGGCCACACTCCAATTAGACTCACAAATGATGACTAAAGGAGTTAGATTAACTTGACTGCCACACTGAGATCAATAAATAATGCAGCAGAAATGGGCTTCGGAGAGCTGCAGTAAATCTACACTTTGTTGTCTGTCAGATTTGGGAGAGACTAGAGTTTTCAGTTACTTTTTAAAACCGCATTGTCCACCCCACTCATTAGTTTTTCACACCATTGTGGAATAATGTAGATCCTGCCAACACCTTTATTTCCCCATTGTTTCCAAATTCCAAAGGTTTTCTGCCAAGTTTTCACTCTCAAATGCCTGATTCAGCACAACTCAGGATGATTTTTAAGGTCAGTTCTGAATAGTTGAGTGCTAGATATCTAATGATGTGAAAAGGTCTGAGTTGATGCATTTTTCCCTGTTACAGAAGTTGGCATTCATTTTATGATTACAGTTATTGATTAAGCTGGTTTTCTGATGGGAAACATTCCACTTTTATAATATAATTTTCCTACTTTGTAATGGCATCAGCAAGAATAATAAACCCGCAAATTAGGAGGAATGTTATTGCATTTCATAACAAAATATTAAACCAATTGCCATTTATTTTAAAGTAAGACAGCACAAGCACACTCTTCAATGAAAATATTTTACAAAAATATTTTTTTTCACCCTAAATAGCATGATATAATAAATAGTATAAATAGTAGTAAATAGCATTTTCACATAAATAGTATTTGGATGCTTTTGCTCTATGTTGTTGGAACATGTCCTTAGTGAATATGACGAACTTCACATGTGGTTACTCTTAAACTCGAGGTAAAACACACACACACAAACACACACACAAAAGGATAAGTTGGATAAAAGTAACCACAAAAATGATAATGAACAAGATTCTGAGAAAAGTTTTTGCATCGTTTGGTTTGCAGATGCCACATTGGTTTAATGTTAAGTTAAAAAATAGTTTGTAAAATTAAATTAAAAAAAATTATTTAGCAACCAGCAGATTATTACATTCTGAATAAATCTTGAGATATCACATTAGTTTTGTCAAGCAGTCCGAGTTGCTGTTTAATTTGCTCTATTTTTTCACATGCCATGTAGATTTTTTTTTCATATTCCACATGTAAGTGTAGCTAAATAATTGAAATCACTTTGAAAAATAATGAACCTTTCATAGTTTTTCATAGCAATTTGATCATTGGAAACTAAAACCAACCTACTCACGACTAAATATTGCACATCTTCAAGGTCGATAAATAATTAGATATTTCTTATTCTAAAGCACTGTTTGCTTTCTTTCATCAGTTATTAGTCTGCAGACTGTACTGCAGAAGAACAAAGAATGAAAACAAATGTCAGCAATGAGCTTTGTTTCATGTTAAATCTGGCTGTATAATGAAGCAAGCTTCATCAGATCGATGCATGTGATGGATATTGGTTAGCTTCTATGGAGACCACAGTCCTGATTGTGTTTGCGTCTCTCCAGATGGTCTCTAAACGGAACGCTCATTGATCTTCATGGTGACGAGAGGCATCGCCTGTCTGGGGGTAACCTGATCATTACTGGCCTGGATCGGGACCAAGACAGCGGTGTCTACCAGTGCACTGCCTCCAACGCCCAGGGAACCATTCTCAGCCAGAGAGCCACACTACAGTTTGCATGTAAGTTATATGAAAGTATTCATTTTTAGATGCTGTGTGTCATTTTTCGTTGTTAAAATTAGGGTTTTCGGTCAATTTGTCAATGTACAGTATGTATTTGATGCTTTTCCCAAAGCCACTTATATGAAAGAGATTAAATAAATTATGATTAATATATTATTATATCAATTATAATTATTAAATAATAAATTAGTATAAATGCACACAGTACTATTCAAAAGATTGGTGTCAGTAATTTGTTTTTAAAGAAATTCAGCAAGGATGCAATAAATTGATCAAAAGTGATAAAAAAAACGTGATTGAAAAAACTTGAACTTACATTGATACAGAAGATTTCTATTTCAAATAAATACTGTTCGTTTGAACTTTTTGTTCATCAAAGAATCCTGAAAAAAACATTTATCACTGTTTCCTCAAAAATATACTGCAAGCTATAAATATACTATAACTGTCAATATTTATAGTAATAAGAAATGTTTCTTGAGCACCAAATCAGCATATTAGAATGATTTCAGTGACCATGTGACGAAGACTGGACTAATGGCTGCTGAAAATTCAGCTATACATCAAAAGAAAAATTGCATTTTAAAATATATTAAAATAGGAAACATTTATTTTAAATTACACTTATATTTATTCATCATAAATTGTAAGAATATTTCACAATATTACTGTTTTTACTGTATTTTGATCAAATAAATGCAGCCTTAGTGAGCATATAAATCTTACTGAAATATTTAAAGGGGTCATGTGACATTGCTAAAAATAACATTATGTTGTGTATTTGGTGTAATGCAATGTGTTTATGCGGTTTAAGGTTCAAAAAACACATTATTTTTCACATAATGTACATTATTGTTGCTCCTCTTTGCCCCGCCTTTCTGAAACGCATCGATTTTTACAAAGCTCATCGGTCTGAAAAGCGAGGTGTACACTGATTGGCCAACTATCCAGTGCATTGTGATTGGCTGAATACTAGGGGTGCTCCGATTGATCGGCTACCGATCATTATCGGCCGATAATCACATTGGGATGATCGATCGGCGGTCTCTAAAAGGCCGATCTAAAAAAAACGATATCAAGCTGATGACGCTGCTGTGAGAGGTTTGGCACGACATGCAGAGGCACCGTCTCAGTCTCTGTCCGGCGCGGGTGAAATAATTATAATGCTAAGGTGAGGTACTCGCCTTCATATTTCTTCATTAAATAACTTACAAAGTAATTTGAAAACCTAGTGTGAGAGTAACAGCTTGAGTGATTCACCGCGCACGCTCTCACTTTCTCTCTCAAAATACGCAAATAGCTTCAAATTACCACACATCCCATCTGTCTATAAGCGAGCTGCACAGTTGACAGAAATTGTCACTTGCACAATCGAGGCAGTGTTACATCGTCACTAAAGTTTATATAAGTAAAGTAAAGTTTTTGCATTACTTTTTAATTCTTGCCAGTGTTTAACCATTCAGCGCTCGCGCACTCTCTTGTAGACCGTGCGCTCATGCACATTTGCAGTGCACACACATAATGCCAGGTTCACATTACTCTGTTTGCAGCGCGTGGTATTTTTTCCGTGCTCATGTTAACGGATTAAAGCATTCACACTGCACATGGCAGTGCGTTCAGGAACGGTGCGTCTGCAGCAGTGCAGAGATCGTTTCCGCACCGAGTCTATTTTTGCTGTGATACACGTGCTGAATTAAAGTGACAGCACATTGTTTGCAGTACATATGAAAACGAAAATTTAGCAATTGCACCATAAATGCATATAATTAAAGTATACTGTCTTTCACAGTCAACACATATGGCTTGTTGACTAGTTTTAAAGGAAAAGAGCACTTTAGATAAACAAGGCAATAACAGATGCACTTTTGGAGGTAGGAAAACAAAGTTCTTTATGAACCACAGGATTGCTTGTAATAAAGATTTCAATGCAAAAGGAAAGGCAGTAGAGCTGACTATTTCTGTCAATGGTAAGTTTGTGATAACGTAAGAAAAGTTGTTTAAATATGTTGCCACTTGCTTGAGCAACTTAATATATAAATTTAGAATTAAATGCAAAAGTAAAAAGCATTGAATGATGTGTTGCTTATATGTATTGTGTTTAAACATGTCTGTGAAAGACTGCATTACCGTACTGTGTAAAAAAAGAATTGCAATGGTGAAAAAGCATTTTCAGTGACAATGTTTGGATCTGAAATCAAACTAATGGAAGGATTATAATGTTGGAATAAATGTTGTGTTTGTGGTAAAACTGGTCAGTAGCGGACTCCTGTGTGAAAGATGCTTCCCCTCACACAAGAGTCACCTAAGAGGGGAATTTCCCCCATTTTCAAAAATTCAGGCCCTGAATAAATGTCAAAAAAAAAAAATCCTGATTGAAGTATCACTATAAATAGTTATAAATTATAAAAAGAAGGCTTTCCCCTACCCCAACTGAATACCTCAAGCGTGTGATGAAAATGTTACGCCTCTTACCATACTGTGATGCCCTGTGTCCCGGCGCAACAAGACAAAAACAATAAAACCCATTACAAAAGAAGCATTTGTTGCATCCAGTTGGGACATAATTACTGATTATAATGACTTATACTGTCTTTTTACGCGTTGCGTATCGCACTGCGTAAACATAAAACCATGTCTGCATTTGTGATCGGAGAAACAACAAACAACAAGCTCTACTCTACACTGCTCAGAACTCACGTTTGAATCGTCAGTGGCAAATTCTTTAAATATAAAAAAACGTACTTACAGGCTGTGAGTCAGAAGCGCCAGACTGTCCTTGCAAAGTTGGAACTGCCCCACTTTATAGAAACAGACACCGGCATTGTAGGCTATACTCTCCGAGGATCAGGAAACAGTCCTCATCCTCCGCAAAATGTGCTGAACACATCTGAATATTTGGGTTGAACTGTTGTAAACATAACTGTAAATACAACTTAACCACTGATTTCTAGTTGTGTCCTTTTTTGGAAGGCCAAACAAAGTAGTTTCGCTTTCACAACGGCCGGCGGGCATGAGAATGTTGCAGCCGGTGCATTCAATGAAGGAGCGGCCGGCAGGCTTGTGGCAACCCCATGTGAAGACCCCGGACTGGACTCGGCTTCGTCCATGGTGAAAGCCGATCTGGCGATTCACAGCGCGAAGTTGCTGTATTTCCTCAGCGACCAGCACGGATCAGCTCTAGGCATGACGAAGCGGATATCATCCTCTTTTAGAAGGCCAAACAAAGTAGTTTCGCTTTCACAACGAAACACACAACGCCTTCACAACATGACGGCGGCAGCAACAATACTACAGCGAGAATAAAAGTTACGACTTCTTTCTTTGCATGAACATTTGGGCGGTGTTATGCAAATCTTCCCACATCGTGACGTAGACATGTGGGGGCGTGTTAGAACAAGCCATTTAGGTAGGCGTGGTTGACTCTTAACTTTTATAAAGAATATCTCTTTGAATTTGAGACTTTAGTCTTTGCAACTTTACAGATCTTCTTTATGCACCAAGAGCTTGTAACACTCCAAAGAGAAAGTAAAAATAGAAATTGCATCATATGACCCCTTTAAATCCAACATAGCAACATTAGCTCAACCAATACCATTGAGTTTGGGGCATGATTTGTCCAAGCAGTGGCAAACTGGAGGAGCGTTTGACTGAATATAAGCGATATTGTAAAAGCACCAGCTTTGATGTTTGGTATTCACATGGCATTGCTGAAGAAAGAGCTATCAAACGAGCTGTCAAATGTGACAATTTCACAGGGTGAAGCACCATTTCAGGAACTGCCCCACTTTATAGAAACAGACACCGGCATTGTAGGCTATACTCTCCGAGGATCAGGAAACAGTCCTCATCCTCCGCAAAATGTGCTGAACACATCTGAATATTTGGGTTGAACTGTTGTAAACATAACTGTAAATACAACTTAACCACTGATTTCTAGTTGTGTCCTTTTTTGGAAGGCCAAACAAAGTAGTTTCGCTTTCACAACGGCCGGCGGGCATGAGAATGTTGCAGCCGGTGCATTCAATGAAGGAGCGGCCGGCAGGCTTGTGGCAACCCCATGTGAAGACCCCGGACTGGACTCGGCTTCGTCCATGGTGAAAGCCGATCTGGCGATTCACAGCGCGAAGTTGCTGTATTTCCTCAGCGACCAGCACGGATCAGCTCTAGGCATGACGAAGCGGATATCATCCTCTTTTAGAAGGCCAAACAAAGTAGTTTCGCTTTCACAACGAAACACACAACGCCTTCACAACATGACGGCGGCAGCAACAATACTACAGCGAGAATAAAAGTTACGACTTCTTTCTTTGCATGAACATTTGGGCGGTGTTATGCAAATCTTCCCACATCGTGACGTAGACATGTGGGGGCGTGTTAGAACAAGCCATTTAGGTAGGCGTGGTTGACTCTTAACTTTTATAAAGAATATCTCTTTGAATTTGAGACTTTAGTCTTTGCAACTTTACAGATCTTCTTTATGCACCAAGAGCTTGTAACACTCCAAAGAGAAAGTAAAAATAGAAATTGCATCATATGACCCCTTTAAATCCAACATAGCAACATTAGCTCAACCAATACCATTGAGTTTGGGGCATGATTTGTCCAAGCAGTGGCAAACTGGAGGAGCGTTTGACTGAATATAAGCGATATTGTAAAAGCACCAGCTTTGATGTTTGGTATTCACATGGCATTGCTGAAGAAAGAGCTATCAAACGAGCTGTCAAATGTGACAATTTCACAGGGTGAAGCACCATTTCATCGACTTCAAACTCCATCACTCATTCTCATTAGTCACCAGCTTCAACAGCATCTTTGTATGCTGTGTATTGACTCGCCATATTAATATCTGTGCTGTCTGCTTCACAAAGTAAACTGCCAAGTATGAGAATAGCCATAGCCACCTGGCCTCTTGCATGCTTAAAGAAATCAGAAGCTCAAATCAGTTGGGAGAAGGATTGTTTGAGATGAGAACACTCCTGGCTGTGGACTCCTTTTGTCTGACAATGAAGACTCTTCACTCTCATGCTATCTAACTATTGATCCAACCATGGGAATAATCAGAGCATCACACAGCCCTTAGGAGCAGATTCCCATCTTTATGGGTGGGATAATGAATCTCACTTCAGGGGACTGGTTAACAGGACTTGCTTGACATTTATTTCCTGTATTGATCATTGGTTAGTCAAAGGGGAATTATGATTTTAATAGGATGATAATGCCGCTGGCTTTGATAATATGTCATTGTGGCATTTCTTATCTTTCAGACAGCTGTTGAAAACTGCATCATGCGTTTGCAAGCCAGTTTGAAACACATGCTTAACTGTAAAAATTGTCATTGGGAGATTTATTCCATGGTGGCTTTCTATTGGCTGTGTATTGGCGTAATCCTCTCCTGGGGCAAGTTTGGAATGAGTACCTTTCTCAAGGGTGCAATAGCAGCAGAGCAGATTTGTGACCTGACAAACTATGGCTCACACAAGCTCCCTAGAATTCAAAGCCCATTCAGATCTGTAACCAGTAGACCCAATATAACAATACAATTGTGATTGGGTGATCATAAGTATGTTTAATTTGAGTTTTTGTATATTACCACTTAGAACAGTTTAGCAACCACATGGTTATTATAGTTTTAATTTATTTTTAATAAAAAAAAAATTTTTATTTTTGTTTGCCTTTTAATTTAGTGTAGTTTTTGTTAGTTTTCAGATTTCATCATTTATTTTTTTTTAGTTACTTTTTAATTTTTGTTTTTATTACTTTTTTTGTAGTTTCATTTAGTCAGTTTATTTAATTTTTTGTTTTAGTTGGACTGCAGAAGTTAATGTGCTGCCTGGTATCATTTAAAGCATTAACAACATTAAATAAAACTATTAAAATTCTACATTTTATATACAAGTGTTTTTGCTATCTAGAGCCCTTTTTAATGGTCAATATGTATGTAAAGGTTTAACGTTTAATAACAAACCGTATTTTAAATTCAAAAATTATTTTGTGGATGTTTTTATTTTAAATAATTTGTCAAAAAAATTTGTTTTTGTTTTTTAGGATTTTAATTTTCATAAAACGTTATTTTTTTTTTATTTCTGCTTTACTTTTTATTAACTTATAAAATAAAACATTAAATAAACCTTATGTATGCCAAGCTTTGAGTGTTTAATTGAACAGCACCGTGAAGTTTAATGTTCCGCCATCTCATATGAAGAAAGAATCAATAAGAGTTTTGGAAATGAATCAATAAGCACTTAACTCATCGACCTTCACATACAGATATGAATGTTTGACATTTATGAAGCAACGCCATTCACTGTGAAGATGTTTGGCTTACCGCACAGTCTACAGCCATCACATGAGTCTTATAGATTTTAGCACAAGAGACCATTAATCAGCGCCCGTGGCTCTTAATCCGTTCATTCTGTTACTATGAGCCGAGCGAGTCCTGCTCTTTCCACTTCCACCACAGCTCAGTACGACCTGGCTGTGTGGGACTTCTTTTCGGTCAGCAGGGAATCTCTCATTAATATTTCCCACTGTTTTCCACCACCTCTCCCTAGCCCTGATGTTTTATTCTGCTTCTTTTGTTTTTCTGTTTTTCCTTACTCTGTAATTTGTCTTACTGGTCACACTGACTCTATATTGTTTGTGTTGGGGAGCCTGGTTCTTGGCTTGTTTGCTTAAGGGTGTGGAATTGGCACAGCAGGCTTTGGTTACAGAAGGCCTTCTCTGTCACGAAACAAGGAGAAGGTTTTTATCATGCCAGGTATACGAGCCAGCTGCCAACTTTCTCTCCTCCTGTTAATTTGTGAGGATGAATCGTGTGGACATGTATTGACAGGGAAGCTATACTAACTCAGTGGGTGAGATTAAGATATCTCTGGTAATGATGCGGCTTACTGCTGGTAGGTGGATGTGATGTTAGCATCCCTTTTTTCATACACCCTCATAGTGTTTCACTAGACTGCATTGTTAGACACCCACTGTATGCTTTGGATTATTCTCAATCACTGATTCTGTTTCCTTCTTTTTGCTTTCTCAAATATTGAGCTCTACTAAATGATTGCAGTCGATGTTTTGTCTCTATTTGTTTTGCTATACTATGAAATGCTGGTTTCATTATGCATGCAAATATATTTCATTCTATGTTTAATCTGTTACAGATCTGGAAAACTTCAAAATGCAGACAAGAAGTGCTGTGAATGTGAGGGAAGGCCAAGGGGTTGTTTTGTTATGTGGCACACCTTTGCATTCTGGAGGTGAGTCTGTATATCTTTCCATTTAAATTGGTCTTATATACTGTAAATGATTCATTGGTTAGTCAAACAAAACATTTGTCTTTATATTTGAAATGCTCTTCCTCTTTAATGGCATTGCTTTTCATTTGACATCAGTTATGCAGCAGCAGTGTTATTTTAGTATTATTTATATACCATTATATTTATTTAGTAATATTTGCAAGCATATATTTTATATTTTCAGCTTTTATTTTATATTGAATTTAAGTTTTAGTAATTGTGTTATCTGATTTTGTTATTTTTATGAATTCTATAAAGCTTTATATTTTTAGTAATGTTAGTAAATTGTTTTCAGCTAATATTTATATTTCATTTTATTTCAGCTTGATATCAATTACAGAACATTATTTTGAATAGTTTCATTTTTTTATATCACAGGGTCAGACAAGTTACCGCATAATGACCAATAATCAAATTCAGTCATTTAGTCGGGCTACATTCTGGTGTGGGACACCCACTTTCCACCATCCAATCAGTTCATAGTTTTCATGTGATGTCACACCCTTACAGGAACGCCCACATGGAGGGCAAAACAAGGCTTTTCTCCGCTGACCGCCAGTTATTTTTACGAGGTTTGCATTTAGTAGTAATGTAGTAAGACAGTGAAATTTAAAGGCCAAATTTAGTTTAAACTTCTGATATACGGTTTTCTGAGTGCACACATCTGAAGCACACGGACAGATAGCGGCTGTCACAGCATGCGAGTACTAAACTAAGTTCTCATTCACACACAAGTTTACATAAAAAAAACACACATGAGTTACAAAAACAGTTGGTTATGTCTGTGAAGGTAAATAGCTGGTAAATAAATTGCATGTTTATTTTAGATCTGTGTGGCAGCAGCAATATACAGTAAATAAATCAATAAATCCACTGCTCTCGTCTCCTCTGAGGCTGGGACTCTAAACAGTGTCCTATGCTCGTCTGTGCAGCCAAAGACAGAACAGTTAGCATGTTTTGCTCAAACTTTCGCCATGGCATTAGACCGTTGTCGCTTGTGAAATCAAAATGACGGTGCCATGGGTGGAAACGTGCAGATTAAGGGGTGGTAATATTATAATGAGATCCCTTTGCCACATAACCAAGGGAGCGAAATCAGACGCGCTCATTTTCTCAAACGCTTGCAGAAAAAGTCTTTTCACGTTTCCTTGGTTGGTAGATGCACCAGGGACCTGATTATAGCACTTAAAACCTGGAAAAGTCAGATTTTCATGATATGTCACCTTTAAGTGTTTTCACATTAAAGGTTTTAGAATGTCACGCTGTTTTTAGTGATTGAAATATTGCAGCTGGTGCTTTATATGGATCGTTAATGGCCAAAACGTGCATTTTGTTCACATATTTTTGTTTTATTCTTTTGAGAGGTGATCTAAATATTTTTTGGGATCGGAACAGATAGAAAATTGACAGGCTTGTGCTGCGGTTCTATGGATGTTTTGCCCGCCAGGTCAACTATGAATTCCCAATGGATAAAAGTCCTGCCCTACTTTATTTTTCTTGTTTATTATCCTGCTTCACAATGTCAAATTATGGAAGTAAAATGGGTTGCAAACAGCAATTCACTTTCGACTTGAATAAAAGCAGTCAGAATCTGTGAAGTGCTGCCTACACACATATGTGCTTGCTCTTAAATCCTTAAATTGCTTACTTTCATCACATTGAATGACATGAAATCATTTTTTCTTGTTTCGTCATCCCTGAAAAATTATATGAAACGGCGGTAGGGCTTTTTTAGATGAACTGTTTGTGAAAAGTTGTAAAAAAAAACAACAACAACATTGTTTCTTGTTGTCTCCATTGATACAGGCTGTTTTTACTCTACTGTTTGGGAAGTGTTATAAAGGTCAATAGAAATTCACACTCCAATGCTGTTTCACAAGCTGGAACCAGAAGTGTCGGAAATGCATGCATGTTAATTGTGCTTCTCTTAGGCATACAGCGCCTATCCTTACACAAGACTGAGGTTGTAATTCAACCAGCTGTAATTGGACGGAAGTCATTAGACCCCAAGTGCAAACAAGAACCAGACAGTGAGAGACATCAATATCAATTAGAGGTCGTGACTATTATGGCGACAAATGAGATGTCAGAATTTAGAAGATGTGAATTGGTTTCATAGGCTTGGCAATTATAGTTTGCTGAGATAAATCTGTAATGAAGCATTTGTTTTATTAGAGAACCCAGAAGAGGACAGTTTCATGTGAGAATATTCTTATGTTTGGCTTTAATGTCACAAGCGATTGAAAACATTGGCTAACTATGACTAAAAAACCAGAAATAAATCATTCAAAAGTGCTGGAAAAGGCAGAAATTTAATCAACACACCTTGTGGTGAAAAGACACGTTTCTGTTACTCAGAGTAAGCATGCTGGTTAGCATTAGACCTTCTAAAGAAACTAATTTACTATGGATCGCAGATCCTGCCATTGATTCTTTGGCTTCAATTTGTTTTCTCGTTTGCATCACTTTCTTTTCAATCAGACCTGAATCTGGAGGCAAATGGAAATAAAGACCTGAAATTGAATTCTCAACCCAATTAGATGAGAAACATGGTTTTTGTTTTTTTTAGACAAATGCATCTTCTGTGCAGAGTAGTTAATCAATTGTTTATCTCTGCAAAATGCAAACAAGAATGCTAAGCTTTGCAAATTTTCAAATGATTCTATTATAAAACTTTTTGCTGTGCATAAGTTTAAGTATTACAATATACAGTAGTTGCTCTTTATCTATTTAGATTTAGGCTGCATATTGAACTCAAAAGACAAATGGGTTATTATTAGCAACCTGTTTTATCATTGTGGAAGAAGCTGTATTGTTTTACACTAGTAATATTTGCAACATCTCAACTACTTTTTCCCCCAGAGCAATGCTGAATGTTCATTTTGGCAAAATGGCATGTGATCAAATGTTTAAAAAGCAAGTTTTCTTTGCTCCACTTTTGCAGTTTCCTGCTAGATAAAAAAGCTTTATCAAAGTACCCATGATCTAGCTGTCTATTGAGATTGCTGAACTCAAAAAACAAATCGGTTATTATTACCAACCTGTTTTATCATAGTAGACTAAGCTATATTGTTCTACACTAGTAATATTCAAAACATTTTTTTCAAGGATAACGCTATGTTCTCTGTTGAAAAATAGTATGCGATCAAATTGATTCTCTGCTCTACATCTGCTAAAATCCACCATACACTACAGTTCATATGTTTGGGGTCAGTAAGATTTATTATTATTTATTTGTTTTATTGTTTTATTCAGCAAAGAATCGTTAAATTGATTAAAAATGACAGTAATTACATTTATAATGTTACAAAACAAATGCTGTTTTTAAATAACTTTTTATTCATTAAATAATCCTGAAAAAAAGCATCACAGTTTCCACAAAAAAAGTTTAAGTAGCACAACCTTCTTCAACATCGATTAAAAATCTGCATAATAGAATGATTTCTGAATGATTTCAGATGATTAAATAAATTTATTTTTGATACATTTTTTTAAAATACATTTTCAATGTGCCTTTTCAATTGTGTGCCTTTTTCTGTTATTGAATTCTATGAATTACATGTATAGACATGGATATATTGAATGAAAAGACTGAATGGTGGCACATCTAGTACATTCAGAACAAGTATCTCTTGAATTTAACCCTGTCTGTCATTATTTTCCAGCTGTTGGCAATTTTTCCAGCATTTCTATTATGCCTCACTTCCTTAAAATGCCAGAATAGAGCATAGATTGCTCTGATATTGTATATATCCTTGTACTTATTTGAACAATGTCTAAGAACTTGGTATTACAACCACTTCATGTGTCTGTTTGCCTCTTTAAGAAGAATCGCTTTATGTACCCCCCAATTGTAAGTTGCTTTGGATAAAAGCGTCTGCTAAATGTCTAAATTTAAATGTAAATGTACAGAGATCGTGTCATATAACCCATGATTGCCCCGTTTTTCTCAGTGGAGGCCTCTAACATAGTGCTGGGCGGTATGACCAAAAATTTATATCACGGTATTTTTCAAAATTATACCGGTTTCACGGTACAAGACGGTATTTTTTTTCATGCATGACCGGGTGTTAACCATATTTTCTACTGATTGAGAGAGGAAATACTGCAGTATATTGACTTAGAATGCCCTATTTTATGATGAGTCATGATGAGTGAATATTGTCAAAAAATACCACACTAAATAGTGACTAAACACGACCCCTTGTAATACATGTTAACCAGGAGTCACTCTCATTTATAATCACGGCATCGTCTGATAAAATCAACATGCATCTACACTAAAGAGCGGCTATGCGGTTGTTTTGGCTATATTACTTTTTTGTCTCATGCAGTGCACTGCCTGCGTCTGAGTGACAAAACAAAAAAAAACAATATCAATCATGCATGTGATAATAAGAGACGAACTACACTCATATTTGTAATTCCAAACAGTCAGTAACCGACAGGTGCTAGGAAACACTGTTTTGTACTGATTTATTGACGAGTCGGCTGCGGTGCGGCCAACTGAATGCACTGCTTCTCTGCCGCTCACTGCACAGAACAGATGCCGAGAGAGGCGACACTTCTCCGGGAAAGTCAGACCTCGCGTTCGCGGGACAGCACTGGCGAAATCTTCCAACTGAACCATAGCTAAGGTTTATCCAAAAAAGTCGCTAGGTTTGTCAGTATGAATATTCTATGGAAAAAAGCGCTCGTGAGTGTGTGAGACACGGGAGTTGATGGCAGGGGGCGGTGGATATGTGTGGCGGTCAATGTGGATATTGTGGATGAGTTCTTCTGCGTCATCACGTTCTATTAGTTCTACAGCTTCAGTTTCAGAACTTTCACGCTTAGTAACATATACAGCTGTTCCCTCACCACAGTGCAACACCCCTTTCAAACAGTATCGCATTCCGAACGTTGTTTAAGTGACATATTCCGGTATTGCGATATTTTCAAAATTCATATCATAACAAAAATAAAAAACGGTATTCAGTATGAACCGGTATACTGCCCAGCACTACTCTAACATCAGACACCCTCATAAAAACGCAGATCCCCCATTGTAGTTCTGAACAGCATGTTTCGGTAACCATTGCAATTTCTATGTTTTCAATTCCTCTACGTTCAGCGCTATCGCTTCTTATTAAGCTAACAGAACTCTGAACCAGGGATTCCCGGGCCAACCTGATCATAAAGAATTGCTTTCAGCTTCACGACAGCCAGCCTGCCAGCGTGTTTCCCCTTCTTAGGATGGGTGGCGTAGTCTCGGGGGACACTTTTTAAGTGGCAGCCATCCCATACACCATTCCAACAGTTGCATCATGTACACGAGCCACTCTTTCCCGTTCCCTTCCCCCTCTTAGTCTCCTGTAGATGACACACTAATGCACTGTGGCAGGGCCTTTGGTCTTCTCTGGTTCAGCCCTGTCCAGTAAGAGCCAGCCAAGCATGAATGATGCCAGCAGAGAAGTCTTCGTCCCCAGCCACGTTGAAGCCGGACAGGGCATGTGTCATAAGAGTGCCAGTGAGGCGCTTTAATCTAGTTTGTTTGGCTCCTTTTTCTGCTGCATCACAAAGGAAGAGTCGCTCTGTTTACTGAGCCTTACCTGCCCTAAGGAGGTCAGCCCAAGGCGAATCGAGTGGTGTAACACAAACACTTTGTATGCACTTTTGAGCCGACATTATAGTGTGCTGAACAAAGTGACTCATCACATTTCTGAAAGTATAAATGTCTGTGTCAGGATCTAATGCTCTGTTTTGACATCTTTCTAGAGCTCACATTCACCTGGGTCTTCAGTGAATACCCTCACTTCGTCCAGCAAGACAGCCGACGCTTTGTATCCCAAGAGACGGGGAATCTCTATATAGCTAAAGTGGAACCGTCCGATGTTGGGAATTACACCTGTGTGGTTAATAACACTATTACCAAGGAGAGGGTGTTCAGTTCGCCAACTTCTTTAGTGCTGAGAAATGACGGTAAGAGAGGTGTCTGTCAAATACTGTACGGTTTAGGTGCAATATATACACTGTAAAAAAATTATCTGAATTTTAATGGTAATAGACTATAAAAATGGTATGATAAAAACTATATGTTCTTTTTAAGCCCCATTAACACCAAGGACGATAACAATAAAGATAAAGTTTTAAAATCATTATAAATTTAATACAATAAACTACAACTATAACAGGAGCAGCACAGAGGAACCATATTGTTGGAATCACTTTAAAAAAACATTAACATCCGATCAGAATTTGTTTTTTGTTTTTGTGAAAATTTAGAACATTTAAACTGGCAGGTGACAAAACTGCAGCATGTGCTCATAATAAACAATGTTATCGTGCATTGGTGTGGACGCTAATGTAGTTCTCATTATAGTTATCTTTATAGTAATCGTTTATTATTGGTGTGAGCAGGCCTCTATACATTGAAAAACTGTAATGATCTAATGGGATATTTCGTGTAATTTTACAGTAACATACTGTTAAATTTACAGTTTTTAAAGTGAAAAAGAACAAATCATCTTACAGTGAAAAAATGTGAATTGACATTCCCAGAATTCAATGTGTGTTATTATAAAGGTTAAAAACATATTTTAGCATTTACCATTATATTTAACCTTTTTAGTTAATGAAATATGTTTTTAACTGTAAATGTAAGCTCAATCTGTAGAACTTGGAAAAATGTTTGATAAAAAATGGCAGCATATTTTTTTATGGTAAAGTTCTGGCAACCAGAGCTTATTCATTTTTTGTTTTTGGCGTTTAAAATAGATTTCACAGATTTTTAACCATATATCTCACTTGGGTCCAAGAAGCTTGTGACATTTTTAGGGAGATGTTCATCCGTAAATGTCAGAGATGCATTTATGCCACTGTCTTGAAAGCTAAACTGCCTCTTTTAAGAACACTAACCTGCATCCTTGACAATGCCTCAAAGGAGGCCACATTTCCATTTGAGATGGATCCGGTTTTTATTATGTGTCTTCCATAAATCTTTAATAACATGTCTCTTTATTTTTGGCACAATCTTCTCAGCTCCCCTGCTCATTGACAGGGCTTTGTGTTTTGCCATTTGTTGTTGTTTTGCTTGTATTCTGGAGTACAAAGCTTGTATATCATAAATCATGAATGACAAAGCCATATGCATCTGTGCTGTATTGTCTGCCCATGGCAGGAGCGATGGGAGAGTATGAGCCCAAAATAGAGCTTAATTTCCCCGACACCATTCCAGCTGCTAAAGGATCCACACTGAAGCTAGAATGCTTCGCCCTGGGAAAGTAAGTCCAGCATGCACACATCTGCGTCTGTCTGCGTTCTCTGCTGCAAACTGTTGCCTGAGTGCACACACTTGCGTTATTTATCTTGCTTTATAAAATACACCAAATTTGTGATCAGCACTTCAGGTTCATTCTTAATGCGATTTGCAATCTGTCACGGAAGCTTTTTTAGAGAGAGCTTTTCACCAGCATTTAGCACCAGCACCCGCTTTGCAGAGGGCAATGACCCGCAAGATTTACTCCTTAAATAGTGTGGAAATAGAGCTGCAAGCTTCTTTTCAAATGAAGAGCAGAAGGGTTGTCGTTTAGAAAGGGGGTAATGCAGGTTTTCAAAAGTGATAGGAGATGATAGCTTTTCACAACATACAAGGAGCGCGTCACACCGGATCCAAACATGAATCAGATCCATTCACACTCAGATTTTCTTAATAGGTTAGAGCTTTGAAGAAATGAGGGGGAAATGGATTTTCTTTTTCCAAACATTATGGAATTTCACTTCCTCAGACAAAGTTGCTGTAGCTGGTAGAGCATGATGCTATCAACGCCAGGATGGTGTGTCATGGATTTGAGTCCTAGGAAATACATGAACAGATCAAAATGCTTAAGTTAGATGCAGATTAAATCACTTCTACATAAAGGTTTGGGGTCAATACGATTGTTTAACGTTACTAAGTCTCTTATGCTCCTAAGTTGCATGTATTTGATCATTTTTTATATTTAAAAAAATTACTAACCCTAAACTTACATACTGGTAATAATTGCATTGCACAATAAAATGCATAGCTTGAATGCAATGTATGTCACTTTAGATAAAGCAACTGCCAAACTAATTTAATCTTTCTATCATGTTGACCCTGTAATTCCTCAAATGGAATTGTGTGAATGAAAAAAAGTTGTAGCTGGTAGAATATGGTGCTAGCAATGCCAAGGTTATGAATTCGGTTCCAAGGGAATGCATGCATGCTTAGTAAAATACCTTGAATGCTTTGAATTAAAAGTGCCTGCCCAATGCATAAATGTAAAGGCAAGATCTGCACATAAAAATAAAAAGTATAACTTTGATGCAGTGTATGCCACTTTGGATAAAAGCTTCTGCCAAATTGATTTCCTCTCACCAAATATTGTTAAACCATAATTCTGGAATTAACCTTATAATTCCACAGATGGAATTCTGTGAGTGAGAAAAAGTTCCTGTAGCTGGTAGAACATGGTGGTAGCCTTGCCAAGATCATGAATTTGGTTCCTACAGAATGCATGTAGGATTACATATCTGAATGCCTTGAATAAAAGTATCTGCAAAATGCATAAATGTAAAAGTAAGACCTTCACATAATAATTAAATGTATAGCTTGAATGCAATATGTGAACCTGGACCACAAAACCAGTCTTAAGTCACTGGGGTATATTTGTAGCAATAGCCAAAAATACATTGTATGGGTCAAAATGATCAATTTTTCTTTTATGCCAAAAATCATTAGGATTTTAAGTAAAGATCATGTTCCATGAAGATATTTAGTCAAATCCCTACTGTAAATATATCAAAACTTAATTTTTGATTAGTAATATGCATTGCTAAGAACTTCATTTGGACAATTTTAAAGGTTATTTTCTCAGTATTTAGATATTTTTGCACCCTCAGATTCCACATCTTCAAATGGTTGTACCTCGACCAAATATTGTCATATCCTAACAAATCATACATCAATGGAAAGCTTATTTGTTCAGCTTTCAGATGATGTATAAATCTAAATTTCGAAAAATTGACCCTTGTAACTGGTTTTGTGGTCCAGGGTCACATATATGTTGTTTTGGATAAAAGCAATGCCAAGGTAATGATTTGATTCCCAGGGAATAAACATACTGATTAAAAAAGTATATTTGCTTTAGATAAAGGTGTCTTTCAAATGAGTTTATCTATGTTCTAATGGTGGCTTTGTTCGGGGTTCACAGTCCAGTTCCCAAGATCAGCTGGAGAAGAACCAGTGATGTTTCATTCCCAAACAAAGTCAAACTGAAAAATTCTAACGCCATTCTGGAGATTCCGAGTTTTCAACAAGAGGACACAGGGACATATGAGTGCACAGCGGAAAACAGTCGTGGAAAGAATGCAGCGAGGGGTCGTTTGTCTTTCCATGGTGAGTTGATCTTTTTCACCCTTAATTTCTAGTTTATTATTTAATTTATTTTGTATGTATATTTTATTTGTTACAGCTTTTTCCTTTTAACATTTATCATAAACATCCTTGTCAACAAATGTATTGTTATACATATGCATGCATTTCTTCTACCTCCTGGAATTAGTTCTTTGATAAGTATAAATAGATGCCTTTTTTGACAGATCAGCTTTGTCTCATAAAGCTTTACAGTAATTTGAAAAACAAAACAAAAAACATGACTGTTTACCATATGGCATTTCTGCACTGCATTGAATCTGCAGTAATAAATCAGTGGATAGTAGCATTGGTTGTTACTGCAGATATTTATTTATTTGGAGGAGTTTTATAGAATGTAAATTGTATTTATGCAAAAAGACCATTATGTTTTGTGTTTTATCTGTTGAGAAAAATTAACACAGAATAAATGATTATAGTTCCCTTTAGCAGAGATTGCAGCAGATGCAACTGTAGAAATATTAATTTAAATAAAGAAATTTTTTTTATTATTTACAACTTTATTTAAAATAATTTATTTATATTCATGTATTGTATTTTTTATATCTTTACTATTATTAAGCTATTTTAAGGCAAAAAGGTGGGGGGGGGGGATCATTAAAGCAATGTTTACCTTTGAGAGTTAAGCATTTATCAGAAATAGTCATGTGACAGAAAGAAAATTTGTATATGTAAGTTTGATATGACTCTTTAGCAGCTTGTAAAGTTCTAAACTACCTCAAGTGGCATTATGACACTTTTCCACTGTCATTATGCCATGCAAAACTGCACTTAACCTCGCCATTCTATTTGTGTCATAACTCACAGTGAGAACATGTCACAACCAGTGTCTCATTTGACTTGTGTCCTTGAGAGACATGACATTTCATGATGCACGTGATTGTGACCTTCTGCAATGAGGACCTTATTGTAAAGGTCACAGTGACATTCCATAAAAAGTCAAGCTTAATTTGAAATGTATGGCGGTGTTGTATTAATAATTTTATACCCTTTGTACCCTTAATAAAATCTAACACACAATCAGCAGTCTTTTTGGACTTTCTGTATTCGCACTGACTGCCTAAATGCAATTTGTGCGTCTGTGTGCTGTGAAACTGTAATACAATTCTGTAGGATAAATGAAAAAGGGAGCTTGCCCTGCCAAAGTAGATTTTCTATTCCACTAGTTGACTTCCCGCAAAAAAACAAGCAGTTTGAAAAGCACTGGATTGGTGTCGGTCTTAAAGGATTCGTAGGTCTTATCCTGGGCCTTTTAAATTAACATTTGTGGGAAGAAATGCAATCATATGAATTTGTTAATTGAATTCAAGACACTGTACGTGGCAGTGGAGTGTTTGCAAGCAGAAAGGATAATAAAGCTTCCAGAAGGAGGTCAAAGGATTTGTAGCATGGAATGGAGCGTGTGCTCGTAGTGCGATAGAATTGACATATTCACTGGGCATCTCACTTCAGTAGTGAGATTCATATTCACATGGCTCTTGTGAAATGGGTCATCTATTGTTTGTTTTTATAAGAGCGTCAGGCATGCTTTAAGTATTATACAGACAAGCGAGGGAGTGTATGGCAAGCCATTTGGATCTGGTGAAGCAGCTTATGTGGTTCTAATATTGCAGCCTTTTCCGATAATAATTATTAATAATCAGAAGGGGTTCAGGGGTCACACTGTGAGATTTGAGCAATTTGGGTGAATGTGGGTTGAGATTTGCTACAAAAGTCTGTTACCATGGAACTTTGAAGTAATAGTTCATATATACAGTGGGTACGGAAAGTATTCAGACCCCCTTAAATTTTTCACTCTTTGTGATATTGCAGCCATTTGCTAAAATCATTTCAGTTATTTTTTTTTCCTCATTAATGTACACACAGCACCCCATATTGACAGAAAAACACAGAATTGTTGACATTTTTGCAGATTTATTAAAAAAGAAAAACTGAAATATCACATGGTCCTAAGTATTCAGACCCTTTGCTCAGTATTTAGTAGAAGCACCCTTTTGATCGAATACAGCCATGAGTCTTTTTGGGAAAGACCCAATTACAGGAATAAATTGTTTTAAAATATAATCAAATAGAACACAGTTATTTTAAATTGCTGTTTTATTGTATTTCTTCTTCAAATAAGAGAGAAAGTGACTTCTTTCAAAAACATTATAAAATCTTACAAACCAAACCCAAACTTTTGACGGTAGGTTTTTTACTTTTATTGTAAAAAGAAAACCAGGAACAGCCTAGCATCTTATTTTTGCACAGACGAAAAGTCATACGGGTTTTGAAATGACCATTAAGCCCGTGTTACACTTTACACACGCTAGGGTCCGCTATGGTATGCGTGACGTAAAAATCGCCATCAAAGAGTGTGCGCGGAGGCTCTGCGCGGACATCCGCGTGCCTCCCATTTTTGTAACTGCGCAGACAAGTACGTGTGGTCAGTAGGCTACAAAAGAACCAACTGCATATGCGCAGGCTGTGTGAAGAAGCCCGTTGCTACTCGAACCTGTACAATACGTCGATAAAACAATATAAATACAGCCAGATGTGCAATAACTCTGGACAATTGTTTGTTTACTGTTCAAGCCGATCTATTGTACATGTATGGAACACGTCCGCGGAGCGGACCATCAGCGTATGCTCTCGGTAGTATAAATACAAGTAGTCCACGTCCGCACTGTCTGTGTACGCGTCCGGATTGCTCATGTGGAAAGTATAACACAGGCTTTAGGGTGAGAAAACGATGACAGAGGTTTCATTATTTGGTGAACTTTTACTTTAATTGTTTCTGTCATCAAGGCCTTTGAATTCATTAGCCTTGGGGCAATATGGCTGGTTTCAATATGCAAGTGTTACATTTCATTTATGTGTGTTCTTGTATCTGTCCATCATCGACCCTTCATCCATTTGATTTATTAATATGCTTTCTTTCCATAGCCACGCCTCATTGGCTGCAGACGATGACGGACACATCATTGTCCATTGAAGAGAATCTGTTTTGGGAGTGCAAAGCCAATGGGAAACCAAAACCTTCGTACAGCTGGCTGAAGAATGGAGAAACTCTTATATCTGAGGTACTCTGGGGTTTCTGAAAGGCCTCTAATGAGACTGAAAGCTTTATCTCCACTTACTGTAGTCCAAGGTCAGTGCAAACATAAATTCTCATTGCTGACATAAAAGCGAGGCAAAAAAGAAGCCAACAGCAGTTATAAGGCAGCAGAAAGACTCCATTAGATCTGACCTGCATTCAAGTCAAGAACTACCCGTACCTCCTCCCCACCCTTCCATCACACATCACGTCAATCTCTCCTTGTGACTCTTTGTACCGAGTTCAGCCCTTAAGGACAGCTGATAGGCTTAAATGTCTGCTATGCCATTATCAGAACCATCAGCTCAACACCTCCCTACCTGTCTCATGTACTTTTCCGACTGGGCGCCCATACCAAAGGAATTGGCCATTAGTATTTCACTGCTATGTTCAACATTTCTTTTCTGTTCATTGGAGCAGAGGGTCAGCATTTTTCTTCATTCTCTTTTATAACCTCCTCCACCCTCTCTTAACACGTCCTTAGATATTCAACTCAACATACTTTCAGTGTTAGAGTGCAGCCGCATTGTAAAAAAGCAATCATTATTGGTGAGAAAATTGTAGAAGTGCACAGTATATTGGTTGATACTGAGAGACATGACATGAGTTTTTTATTGGTTGATACTGGATATACATTGGCTGATATTGGATTTTAAATTTTTCTTGCTCAGGTTCCATTTTTTCACATTTAAATTACTTTTGACATTATCTTCTGCTCACTTAAAGTACACAGTTAATTAAATATAAAATATATTTTTTTCATAATCTACATAATGAAGTTATAATGGCTAAATTCACTTGTTGCTTTTAAATATATATATTTTTAAACAAAATAGATCAGAATTTTTTTTTTTGCCTGACATATTATAAAATCCCATAGTCTTACAATGAAGCAGTGTTATTTATTATTCAGTATCAGTGAGATACTATGACAATTTTCATTAATATATTAATTAATTTATTTTCCTTTTTTATTTTAATTTTTTTTAAGTTTTAGTAATTTTGTTGTGTGTTTTTGTCTTTTTCTGTTTTTTTTCTGTTTGTAGTTTTTATGCAGTTTTATTTTAGTTGTAGTCATTTTCATACATCAACTTAAATAAAAATAAGACATTTCCTTGGCAACTAGTTACAATAAGTTTCATATTTTATATATTTTATTTTATTTTAATTAATGTATATTTTGTTTCAAGTCGTTTTAGTTGAATTTAATTGAGTTTAATTTAAGGAAGGACCCAATCCATATCTAGCGACCAGAATATCATAGAAACTTGCCGATGGTCTCTTTTGACTCAGGCCAGTAAGCAAGCATGTAATCAAGCAGTCCAGCAATACCCTAGCAACCGCATAGCAACCATTTTACTTTGATTGTTTGTTTTTATGTCTACAGGGCCGAGTGCAAATAGAAAACGGTGCTCTCTCCATCTCCTCGCTAAACCTCTCAGATTGCGGGATGTATCAGTGTGTGGCGGAGAACAAGCACGGCATCATTTATTCTAGCACCGAACTGATGGTGCTTGGTACGACCTCTGTGTTTTCACTGCCTGCTCGCCATCCTTCATTTGAATGCTAAAACTTTATTGTGTAGTCACAGCCCAGGCTCAAATTACAAGCAGCACTGAAACCATCCGCTCCACTGTAACACTCATATTTCCCCAATATTGATTGTGAAATTATGTCTGTGCATGCTGAAATTCATTCATTTTAATCACAACACATTGGTCAGTATTGTGCTTACGAGGCCAGTTTCAAATAAATGGCGTCTATTGAAGACACGGCACAGTAAATGTAAGTTTTAGCTCAAGACAAATGGCCTGGAAGAAGCCAGTGGAAGCAGACAGCTCTATTTGTTAAGTCCTTTAGACTTTTCTAAAATACTTTTTTTTTTGCCAGAGGCTGTTTGAACGTCAATTGCTGTTCATCACAGATTCTATTGAGGCTTTAAGTGTGAGTCTGAGGACCAAATCTGTCTGTCTCTTACAGCCTCTGCTCCCAGCTTCTCCCAGAATCCTTTGAGCCGAGTTCTTAAGGCTCGCTCAGGTAGTGACGTTAGCCTAGATTGCCGGCCACATGCTTCGCCCAGAGCCATTAGCCTATGGAAAAGAGGGAATGAGATACTGCAAAGAAGTGAAAGGTATTTAGCCTTAGACTTTATATTTAATCTCAATGAAGCCATGTGATTCTTTGTGATGCTAAGAAATGATCCATTACCTTTAGGATTTCTCTCTTCCCCAATGGGACTCTTAAGATTGCCAACGTAACTAAGCGAGATGGAGTTAGTTACACGTGTATCGCTAAAAACCAGTTTGGCACAGCTAGCACAACAGGAAGACTGATCATCACAGGTAAGTCATTGTGTTTTCCATTCTAGATCAACGTTAGTGGTTCAGTGCAGGTTGAGGATCGAATTTGGCTAGCAACAGTTTCCAGATTCAGTTTCTCCACTCTTTCTCTAACCCCGTTATTTACTGTCCCTTTCTATTCTCTATTACCATAAAAAATAGCAAAAAAGCCTGACAAAATAAACTTTTTTTATTATCCAAACAAATACATAATGAAATTTCTTTGTTGTAAAAAAAAAAATCCTTAAAATATTTTATCTGAAAAGCAGCTTTATTTACAATACAGAATCCGGTCCACTCTTATTGTTGACTCAGATACTGTATTCTTGATGGTTTACCTATGATTAGCTTTGAGTGAAATGCCACATCTGGCACATATCATGATGCATTGCTTCAGCTGTTTCAAGAAAGGTATTAGCCAACTGACAACTCCATTCTTCTAAGTTTCTGTACTGCTGTCAGCCTTTCAAGTCAAAAAAACACAAAGCGTAAGATTTGTTTTATATAATCAAGCACACTGAGAAGTCCTACACAATGGTGCTGGTATTTCAAGACAAATGGCTTTTGTTATCAAGTCTCTATGTCTAAAAGTTTTAAGACATCTTTTTTTAAAACTCCTGTTTAAGGAATAGTTCATCCAAAAATGTTAATTCTGTCATTTGACTCATTTGACTTTCTGTCTCAAACTCATTTGACTTGCTTTCCTCTGTGGAACACAAAATTAGAAAATATGAAGAATGCACTGTTCTTAATTGTTCATGCCATATACAGTGAATGCTGACTGGACCTTTAAAACTTCAGAAAAGGACACAAAACAGCCACATTCAAGTAGTCCATGTGAATCGTGTTGTATTTCAAGTCTGCATGTCTTTGCTCACTACCATTCTTTCCCTCCAACGAGCTACGAACTCGGAATAGATAAATGGGCATTGAGTTGAACTTAAGAGGTCAGTACGATTTGTGAATTAATCATTTGGTTTTGTGAACCGCATTAAATTGATTTATTGATTTCACAAATTGATACTTAAATTAATCGTTCCTGTAGAGTTCCAGTAGAGCATTGCACTAGCAACAAGTTACGTTTGATTCCCAACTCATGACGGCCTTAATAAACTTTTATAATCAGGGTTCAATGCTAAGCATTTTTTTCTACCGACCCGGATGGGCCAGTGGTTTACATTTTTTACTTACTCAGCCAAAATTTTCACTGATCCCTCTACAAAAAAATGTGTTAATTAATTAAAAAATTAGAATAAAACAATAATTCTTGTTTTCATTGTATTGACCAATGTAACATTATATTCTAATTAGTAAGCCTCCAAAGTTTTAGATATCAGTGACATTTCACAATTCTCGATTCCACTTTCGATACCACAGCAAAAACTACTAGCCTAATAGAACAAAGACATAAATGAAATAAAAAAAAGAGCTTTAAGTTTTTCAGGTAGGTATTCAGGTACAGAAATTGAATAATCAAATGTAAAATAAGTACATGCCCAGTCCATGTTCTTATTGTCAAACCCTGATAATGCTTTTGTAGCCTTTCCTTGTTTATTTTGATAACATTAATTTCTCCTTTTGTAATTCACAAAAGAAAAAGAATTTGGAACGACATTAAATTGAGTAAATTACCATTTTCTTTTTTGGGTGAACTGTCCCTTTAAGAGAGCCTTTTATATTGTGGAGTTATAACATTCTTTTCTCTAGTGTTCTGTGTAGTTCATGTGCCCTCTTGCTTCAGTCTTCCACACGCCCCAGTCCATGTTTCACTAATTACTCATTGTTAAGGTCATCCGTAATTGCTGTGGCCCATATCCGTGTGGATTGTTATCTCCTCATTAAGTTATAGGATGAATGTTATTCCTCACTTTTGTTCTTCATTATATAGGTTACGGGTTTAATCAGCAGTATTTTCATGACAAATCAGAAGAAACTCATTAGCTATATACCATTGAGGCCTCTGTGTGAGCCCATACGTCTTTTATAGGGTGTTTCTTTCTTCTCTTTCTTGTATTTTTCTCTCATTATGTTTTTGTCATGCACCAGCAGTTGACCCCCTTAATGTAATTTAATTAAAATGACCTTTCCCTCACAAAGTGTCTTCAGTCAACTGTATTCTGCTTACAGAAGACATGCTGCCAATTCATTTGGCTCTTATTAAAATCCATGTTATGTTCTCAAATTAATAGTCCCCATATGGAAAGACAGCAGCCAAAAATCTAAGTATAGTACCTAGAAATTAAGATTATTTATTACAGCAATAAACCACCGTAGGTTGTGGTAAAATCGTTAACCCACAGCCTACTGCTCATAAGGACAACAGCAATGTAAGTAAAACATTGTTACAGTTATTTTAGAATGAAATTTGGTTTTATCACAAAAACATTTTAATTTCAAATGTTTGAAAAATGTTGGTGTCAGTATTTTTTTAAGTATTTTTTGTCTAATTAGGCAATTTATTACACTTTGTTTTCCCCTTTCTGTAAATGAAAAATTGCAAGCACATTTTCTTTTGTTATAAGCATTTTTTTTATTTTTTACAAATTTTACATTTATAGTTTTTCCCCTCAGGTCCTCAGTTTCTTGTTAGTCTTTTTACATATCCTTTTGGTTTTTAATTGTAAAAATGTGGCTCATCCTATTAAGCCTTGTATTATAAATAAATATATTTTTTTAGTTTATTATTTGCATAGAATCTTGAAATTATAATTATTATATATACATGCCTTAAAATGTTTCCTCCAGAGGCAGCTCATTAGATTTAAATAAATAAATAAAAGGATTGTCTTGTTATTTGCCTGGCTACAGAAGATGTTCTCTCGCCTCAGTTTGTGTCCTAGAGCCAAACTGACAGACTATGTTGACACTGTAACTAACAGAGCCCACGAGGATCAGGCAGGGTCCCAGCAGCACAGAGATCACGGTGGGTGAGAGCATCGTGCTGCCCTGCCAGGTGACTGCCGATCCAGCCTTGGACGTGGCCTTCTTCTGGGCCTTCAACGGTCAGCCCATTGATTTCCATCAAGACGCCGACCACTTCGAGCGAGTAGGAGGGGTGAGTATTGTGGTTTTAGGGCTATACGGCAACCTCAGCACCCTCATCCCACACCACCACCTCCGGGCAAGAAAAAATTATTGGAAACATATCTCGGAAAACAGGATTTCCCTTGCTGTTTTGAAAAAATTTTATGTATTGTGTAGTTAAGCTAACCTTCACAAATCATTTATGAAAACATGACTGCAAAAAAACAGCTTATTTAATTATAAAGGTCTGAAATGAATGACTAAATGACAATAAGAAATATAACAGAATTGTTTTCATAAAAAAAAAAAAAAGTATCCAGAACTGTAGTATATGGTCACAAATTACAAGAAATCTGTACAATAAAATGCAGGTTGTAGTTTTTTAACAAATATAAAGATGAGTTTGAGTGTTTTATTTTATTTGAGTAGGGGTTTCAGATTAATTAGTTTTAGTTATTTGTGTTCATATTTGAATCAAACCAAAGAATCCAGCATGAATAGATCTCAAACACAAGCACTTGAAGTACTGTAACTGGGTTTTAATCTAATCATTGTGCTGGACAGGAACAAGCTATTGGGACTTTGAACGCTCTCTCAAGAGACTTGCCTGCCATTATGTCTGTAGTTGGAAAGTGGATTCTTGGGATAAATTTTGCCATCTTGTTCTGGGTCATTCCATCATTGACCTACATTGAATGTGAATGATTCAACATGTATACCAAACAGCTGCTCTCTGAACCAGGGAAACAGGCCAGATCAATTAAGAGTTGTTCCCATTTTACCCTTCCAGTTTCACAGGACATTTTACATCTCTGGGGAGATGATTCCTTATTGCCGCAGGACTCAAATGAATTGAAATCTTGCCTTGAGAAATGCTTTGTGTTGTCACATTCCATTTTGCTGTTTTGGTTTAGATTTTCCCTTGGTTGGCTAGGGGTTTGAACAGAATAATAAACATCTTTTGATAATTTTCTTTTAAGGATTTGAAACGTGAGCACAGACTAAGACCAGATGGTTCAGATATTTTTGATGGAATCTGAGAGCTGTCTGACCCTGCATAGACAGCAATGCAACTGAAATGTTCCCAAGTCCAGAAACGTAGCAAGTAGATCGGTAAAATAATCCATGTGACATCAGTGGTTCATCCGCAATTATACGAAGCTACGAGAATACATTTTGTGCGCAAAAGAAAAAAAAAAACTACTTTATTCAACAATTTGTCTTCTCCGCATCACCCTGGTGCCATTTTGGAGAATATCCGCTGGACATAAACAGCGTATGCTGTTCTGTGTCAGCTGCGTCACATGGATACTCTGTTTTCTTTCAGATCAAATCACAACAACGTAGGAAACAGATTCGGCGTGACGCAGCTTACACAGAACAGCATATGCTGTTTACGTCCAGCTGATACTCTCCAAAATGGCGCTACAGGGTGATGCGGAGGAGACGAATTGTTGAATAAAGTCGTTTTTTTTCTTTTCTTTTGCACACAAAAAGTATTCTCATAGCTTCGTATAATTGCGGTTGAACCCCTGATGTCACATGGATTATTTTACCGATCTCCTTGCTACGTTTCTGGACTTGGGAACATTTCAGTTGTGTTGCTGTCTATGCAGGGTCAGACAGCTCTCAGATTCCATCAAAAATATCTTAATTTGTGTTCCGAAGGTGAACGAAGGTCTTACGGGTTAGAAACGACATGAGAGTGAGTAATTAATGACAGAATTTTAATTTTTGGGTGAACTATCCCTTTAATATTATTTATTATTATATGAATAGTAATAATGTTTTTTAACCCCTTCAGCCCATTTTCATGATTTTGATTCAGTCCCCTCCAACCCACAGCCAGGCCTTGCCTTTCATTATCATGTGGTGGCGGCTATGTAAAGTTCATACATGGGGCTTCTCTCAAGGCCTATTACAAATGACATTGACATATGCAGATGTAGGTTATAATGAGATATGTTTTTCACGGATTCACACTTTCTCTGCACCCAAAGATTATGCCTTCCATCTCAGCAGCCTCTGATGGGTGCATTACCATAATTAAACATCACCCGCTCTTCGGTCTTCTCATCCAATCCTGAAATTTTGGTATCTATCCATTGAATGGGCTCTCTTTTTGATACTGATTGAGTTTAAGGCATTTTTTCATATGAATTGAACTTGATGGAGAGGAAACCACAGTCAAACATAAGTGCTGGCCTTTTTTGAGAGCTTGGAGTGCTTACATTCTTACATACTTACATGTACTATTACAGTAGAGTAGTGCTCCGTGGTTTGGGACTAGTAGAGCACTAGAGACATCAATGCGATATGCAAGATTCAGCTTGTATGAAATTCTGGACATTCTTTTTTTTAAAGACAGGGAGAAGCACAGAGATAAATTGTGTCAGCAAACCTATTTTCTTTTCTTTTTTATTTTAAAATAGTAAAAAAAATAGTATAAATAAATGTTATTTTATTGTATTATTTATAATGGTTTATTTTTTAGAAAATGTTCAGATAAAATGTGATAGTCAATGTCAGTTAATCAGAACCACAGAACCTTAAGGGTTTTCTGATTAAGTCAATTTAATTTGCTTTTGCACACACTGTGCTGTGTTATACTTAGCTGTGTCTTCATTTATATTATGAAAAGATCATATTTTGACATCTGTACCAGAAATGCAGATTCTTTATGATTGTAATGTGTTGTATGCTTATCTGGAGCAATATTAACTCTCACTCTGCATATTCTTTGCACATTTACCTGTTCCTGGCTTATGTATTTGTGGAATAATTAGTATCGTCTTGCCAATTAACCACTGTGTGTGTGTGTGTGTGTGTGTGTGTGTATGTGTGTGTGTGTGTGTGTTTTACTGAGCTCCTGTGTGGCTGAGAGAGCTGGATCTGAGTGAATCCCGGAGGCTAGTCACTGAGACTGTTTATTTAGGTCCACACGTATCTCAGAGCACAGCAGCCATTTTAAAGGGAGGGATGAGTGTCTGAGTTTGCAGAAATCTACAGCTAGCATGACAGGGAACATCAGCATGCCTCCCTCAGCTTTATTTTGGTGATAATTAACTACATCATAAAATGGTATATCAGACACAGATTGCTGTTGAAAACAGGCCCTTTGTTACTCAAGCTATTTGCAGCTGCAAGTGTCCCAAATCTGATTTATCTTGTGTGTGACACAGAGGTTTTTTTTGGGGGGGGGAATGGCTGTGTAAACCATTGTTATTTTAGTATCAATGAGATTATTGATACTATTAAAGGTTTTAGTTTTTTATTAATGTTCTGAATCAGTCTTTATTTTTATATTTTCTGTTCTCGTTTTAATTTTAAAGTTTTCATGATTTTGTTGTGTGATTTTGTCATTTTTAGTAGGATTTGTATGTTTATATAGTTTTTATTCATTTTTATTTCAGTTTTAGTTTTAGTTGATTTATTACATCAAGTTAAACTAAATAAAAATGAAAAATGGTTCCTCGGCAACTAGCTGAAATAAAACTTTTTTTTATGTTTTATGTTATTTTAATTAGTTAGTAGTATAGTTTATAGAAGTTTTTTTTTTGTTTGTTTGTTTGACGTCATTCTAACTCCAATTTTCCAACTTCAATCCTTCAGTGTGGTTAAATTAATTTAAGTAATTAAATTGAACTATTAAGTATTACACAGAAAGATGCAAAAATATATTTGCATGGCCTTTTAAATGTGAACAGAAAAAAATCTGAATCAGCCTCTGAATTCTATTTGGTTTGTAGTACCTGTTCTCTCATTTTTTATTTTTTTTTAAATAGTGCCAGAATTTCATGGCACAAGCCAAAAATACAGAGCATGCCTTGAGGTTATGTTTTGATTCATGAAATATGTTATGAATGATAATGCATCACGCTTTCAGAAACTACTGTTTATCAATAAAGAGTGGATTTGGTGTCTTGTGCTGTAACAACAGAAATTATTATTAATAATTAAGAAAGACATTTTCACTTTTCTTACAGAGCTTTTCCGGTGATCTTATGATTAGAAACATCCAGCTTAATCATGGTGGGAAATACGTTTGCCTCATTGACACAGATGTCGAGAGCTTGTCTGCTGACGCAATATTGGTTGTTAAAGGTAGGACCAAATGTTATTTCGGTTTATATGTCCACATGCACAATATTTGCCTTCTGCGCCAATAGTTATATGTATTTACAACCCTCTTCCACAGTGAAGAGTGTCTTGCGAGGTGTGTATTTCAATGAAAGGGCACTGCTAATGTAGCAAGAGTTCACAGAGTGCTAAATGTGTCACTTGGGATGGTTTATGGGGCCTCGTTTTCGCTGCTGTTTTTGTGAGCCACATTGGTATTCATGGCCATTACGCATCACGGTTCTGTCCCAGGTGTTTGGAGAGGAGCTGTTTATCATAGAGGATGTCTTTAATTGGCTCATTTACACATCGGCTAAGCAGCATGATGGAGCCCAGAATGCAGTGCAAATGGAGAGAAAATATTTAAATGGAAGAGAGTTATTTGGAGCAGAAATGTAAATCATTTAGTTGCGCATATACAAGCGTACACACATACACACACCTTGTTGCCCTTGCTAAAACTCATGCAAGTGTGCACAAGCACAAACCGCTTGCCATGTCTAACACCTTAGAACACACACTCCTAAACAAATAGTTGTCCTCTTATCAGTGTGATACAGTTTCCAAGTCATCAATATGCACAATGCATGGACCGAATTTAATGTTTGAGCAGGTGTGGAGTATAATCAAACACTCCTAATTAATTCAATTCCATATGGGCTGTGTGATCGAGTCAGGTCCCCCCAGCCCCCCAGACTTGGTTGTGGTGGAGGAGGTCACAGACAGCACGGCCCAGCTGTCCTGGAGCCCAGGCCAGGACAATGGAAGTCCCATTACTGGATATGTCATCCAGGCCAGGACTCCTTTTACTGTCGGCTGGCAAGCTGTCGACACAGGTACATCATCACCCATCACAGGCATATGCCATTGGGTGTGTGTGTATAAGTTGCCTTTGATTCAGTTGGTAGTGCATGGGAGGCACTGCCAACTTAATAGATTAAACTCTTTTTTTTTACATTCTTAATTAAAAAGCTAAATATTTTTATTATTTTATTAATAAATACTTTATTAGTCTTATATTTTATTATACATTTTTATTATTTATTTTGTTATTGACATTTCTAGTAAATTAGTTTAATTTCATTTTAATTACTATATATGTATATATATATATATATATATCATATATCTATCTACTGTATCTATCTGTCTAGTCTTATTTATATATTATTATAGTGTTTATTAAGATTTTGAAATAGCTTTTGCTTTTTTTCATTTGTAATTTTAATTTGATAGTTTCTTACATTTTGTCATTTTATTTGTTTTTAATTTTATTTAGTTTATTAGTATTATATTTTATTGTTCATAGTTTTATTTTTAAATTTTAAAAATAGTTAAAAAGCGAATATTTGGGCTGTTTGGAAACCCCCCCAAAAAATATTTGGAAACCAAATTTTACATTTTACATTTACTTTTTTGCTATTTTTATTTTTTGTTTATTTATTTTGTTTATGCTATTTGAATTACTATATAAAATATTTTATTCATAATGTTATGATTTATTTATAATATTTATGTTTAGACTTACTGTAGGTTGTTATATCTATCTATCTATCTATCTATCTATCTATCTATCTATCTATCTATCTATCTATCTATCTATCTATCTATGCGTCTGTCCGTCTCTCTCTCTGTCTGTCCATCAGTCTCTCTCTCTGTCTGTCTGTCTCTCTGTCTGTCTGTCTGTCTGTCTGTCTGTCTGTCTCTGTCTGTCTGTCTGTCTGTCTCTGTCTGTCT